TCACTTTTTCTTCGTGATCTTGAAGTAACATACAAACAGGGATTACACTTTGCTAGAAATACTCTGATCTCTTAGCTTTCTTACCATCATATTCTCCTAGTTTTCTTTCTACCTTTCTAACTGTTCCATGTCAGTCTCTTTTACTGGCTTCTTCTAAATGTCAGTTGATCTCGACCCATCTTACTACTCCCATAGCTTTAAAATACTGCCTATCTGCTAATAACTTACAAATTTATAGCTCAAGACCTACACATACACAGCACAACTATTTGACATAGCCACTTAAATATTTATAAAGGATTTCAAACATATTCTGTAGGAAACAAAACTCTATTTCACACCCTACCAAAGATATTGTGTACTTCTACCTCCCTCTGTAAGTCACGCATCTCAATAAAACAACATTCCCCATTTGTTCAACTCAAAACCTTCCACTTGGCTTTATCGCCATAGCCACAGAATTCCAGTCCTAGCTAATATCATGTCTTGTTTCGTTTACTATGATGGCTTCCTAACTCCTTGGCCCTTTTCAATCCATGTTTCACACAGTGGCCAGACTGATGTTTTTGTTGTCGTTGTTAATCCTCACTCGAGGCTATTTTTTCCATTGATTTTTAGAGAGAGAAAGGGAGGGAGAGAGAGAGAAACACTGATGTGAGAGAATGCCCTGACCAGGTCCTGGGATCGAGCCTGCAACCGAGGTACATGCCCTTAACTGGAATTGAACCTGAAATCCTTCAGTCCTCTGGCCAGTGCTCTACCACTGAGCCAAACCAACTAGGGTCAGACTGATCTTTTTAAAAATTGGGTCATTTGTACTTCCCTGCTTAATATTTAAGTGACTTTCCATCACACATAAACTAAAATTTAAACTCATGGTTCTCAGAGCCCTACATTATCTGGCTAATGGCTTTTTTCTAAACCCACAAGGTTTTTTTGTATATATGACCTTTGTATTTGCTCTTTCCACAGCTTTCTCTTCCCCCAGCTCTTTCAATGGCTGGCTCCTTTGCATTCTTCAGATTTCAGATGTAAATCACCCTATCTAAAAGAGCCCTCCACCTCAATTACTTTCTGTCACTTCACTATTTCCTTTGTAGCATTTAATACACTGAAATTATTTATATATCTGTCTTTTTAAAAAAAATTTCCCTACACTAGCTAAAACTTGCACTTCTTAAAATGCAAGTTTTAAGAAGGTAGAACTAAAAAAATGTTTAGACCCATTTTCTGGAACAGTGCCTGGCACCATGATAGACTATCAATAAGTGTTTGTTGTTATTTTTTAAATTATATTTTTATTAATTTCAGAGAGGAAGGGAGAGGGAGAGAGAGAGATAGAAACATCAATGAAAATCATTGATTGGCTGCCTCCTGCACGCCCCCCACTGGGGATCGAGCCCGCAATCAGGGCATGTGCTGTTGACCAGAATCAAACCTGGGACCCTTCAGTTCACAGGCTGACGCTCTATGCACTGAGCCAAACCAGCTAGGACAATAAGTGTTTATTTTTTAATAAATTAATGTTTGGGGATAAATATTTCAGTTTTACTAATGTTTTCTTTCTTTTAATACATTCACAGAACCATGAAGTAAGTTCTTCTGGAATGAACTCCAGTGATGACGACAACTCTGGGGATTTATTTGTGAAGGATTTACCGTTAGTATCAAATAAATTGTTATGCTTATTGATATCAGAGGAGATGTAATTCTGTGATCCATTTATGGAAGGATATTTGCATCATATTGAGCCCTATTTTGAGCCTCACTTCTCTCTACTGAGCATATAGTTAAGAAAACTTGATGTGTTAAAATTGTTATAAATAGCCAAACCAAATCTTTCTTGTAGTTACTTTTTTGATGTCTAAGAATAAGAAGCTTTTCTAGAATTCTTAAATTATTCCCTTCAGTTGTATTTTTCTTATGCCAACTTTTTATTCTAATAAGGGTTGGTTATTCAAATGATGGTATTTTGCTAGTACTACACATAAGTCTGTTTTAGAAAAGAAATATAATAAAACATATTTAATACCACTGTCACATTGCCTTGCTAAACCAACTTATTCCTAAATACAATCAGATCCCATATACCCCCTTGCCCTTCTCTTGGATCAAGTATATTTTGTTTGTTTATGAATTGTTGCGATATAATTACATACAGTAAAATGCACAGTTGGTAATTATACAATTCAATGAGTTTGACTAATGTATAGTCAAAGCAAGATCTCAATTAAGATATAGCCCTAGCTGGTTTGGCTCAGTGGCTAGAGTGTCGGCCTGCGGACCAACGGGTCCCGGGTTCGATTCCGGTCAAGGCCATGTACCTTGGTTGCAGGATCCTCCCTGGCCCAGGCCCTGGTTGGGGCTCATGCAGGAGGCAACCAATCAATGTGTTTCTCTCACATTGATATTTTTCTCTGTCTTTCCCTCTCTCTTCTACTCTCTCTCTAAAAATCAATGGAAAAAATATCCTCAGGTGAGGATTATAAAAAGAAAAAAAAAGATATAGAGCATGGCCATAACTCCAGCCTGAAGTTTCTCAGTCTTAACACTATTGACATTTGGGCCAGGTCATTCTTTGTTTTAGAGAGCTGTCCTAAGCATTTTGGGTATTTAGCAACATCCAGTGGGAACTACTGCCATAAGCCATTTATTTCCTCATATCCCTTTTGAGTCTGTGCCCCAGTCCTCATAGAGATAATCACTAATATGATTTCTATCCCCATATTAATTTTAATAATTAATTCTAAAACTGCTGAACTTTAACAATAGAGATAATCACTAATATGATTTCTATCCCCATATTTTAATAATTAATTCTAAAACTGCTGAACTTTAACGTCTGACAAAATATTTATGCAATGGGCAAAAAGTAAAATGAGCTAATTGGGTCTTTATAAGATTTTTTAAATTGTTATTAGTTTGTTACCATGACTCTGTTGCCTAAACCTGTATTTAAATTTTGATGTCTAGAGGTGAAAAAATTATCTACAGTAAATAAAAAACAAAGTTATAATTAAAATGAAACAGCCAGTAATAGTATTAGAGCATAGAGAAAATTCTTTTTCCATGCACCAAAGAGGGACAGGATTTATTTATTTTTTTAATGAACAGTGTTAACTTCAGAGTAGTCAGTAGTTAAGCATCATAAAAGCCGGTACTACCAAAAAACTCAGCTAATGATAAAGCAAGCTCCTAAAGAGTTGAATAATCACACCGCATTTCTTTGATATATTTTATGTCAATTCTGATTGGCTGTTTCTCCAGTTAAATGAAATTATGAGTTATGTCATGTTTTAAGGAAGAACTGTCCAATTTGATATATTAGTTAATCCAGTAAGAATTGAATGTCAGTCGTAACAAATCGGCCTCCATGTAATCAGTACAAATGTTGTTTGGTTTCCTTTGATGTAGAATAGATGTACTGACTTAGAATGAAATTATGAAATAATACTAAAGAAAATATAATATTTTAATTTCAAGAAAATCTTCAATTTATTTTTATTTCATAATTGTTAATTAAATTTCTATTTTTCAATGGTATTTCTAAGGCAAGCTCCTCTTCAGGAAGATCACCTTCCAGAACAAGGGGAATCATTCCAAATAGAAGGTAATTCAAGTGAAAATCTGAAAATATGATGTGAAGGGTAAGATGAGGTCTTTGAAAAAAAGTAACATAATTAAATTTCTCTAATTTTCCTTTTTAACTTTTTAATCTTTTCGCCTGATATTCTTCTGCTCAAAGCATATCTGTTTATTTTACAAAGAATAATAAGAGTTTTAAAGTATATCCATTTATTTTGCCAAATCTATAATTAGAAACCTTAGCTATAACTGTGGCTGCAATTTCCTGAACCTGACAACATATTAAGATCTGTGTTAGGCGTTTTACATATATTATCTCAATTAACCCTCACAACAACCTTGCAATATAGGTACACTCAGTCCCATATTATATAGACTCAAAGAAGTAACCCAGATGGTAAGAATCAAGCTTTAAACTCAAAGCTAACCTCCAAAGCCATGCCCTTCTTTCTACTTTTCAATCATTGTGTCCCTATTCTCAAATATCAATCCTCTACTTAACTAAGCTCTAAAGAAGGGAAAGCATTTGAATAAGCAGCTCCAAATTTTCCCACTTTAAAATGCAGATTATATTTCCTACCTGAAATGCTTTCCAGTTATTCCAATTTTTCTCATTTTTCAAATAACAACTTAGTTTCACTTTCCTTGTGTATTTGTCCTACTTTAGAATATGAGATTCCTTTTCTCTCAATCCTATACACATAGATACATGTAAACTACTAGTTATTCTTTAAATGAGGGGCACATAAAACCCCAAGTTAGAATATTTTGAATATTATATAAGATTCTTCCACAGGTAAGATATAAGCTATCAATTGATCACTGCCAAATAAATGGATGGTAATATTAATTTCTCTACATTTTTATTTACTTACTAGAGGCCCGATGCACGAAATTCGTGCAAGGGGCTCGGCCCTCGCAGCCCCAGCTTCATTCGGAAGGACGTCCAGAAGGTCATTCGGCTGTCCCATCTAATTAGCATGTTACACTTTTTTATTAAGATATAAGCTATCAATTGATCACTGCCAAATAAATGGATGGTAATATTAATTTCTCTACATTTTTATTTACTTACTAGAGGCCCGATGCACGAAATTCGTGCAAGGGGCTCGGCCCTCGCAGCCCCAGCTTCATTCGGAAGGACGTCCAGAAGGTCATTCGGCTGTCCCGTCTAATTAGCATATTACACTTTTTTATTATAGATAGATAGTAAATGTGGAGAAACTACAGAATGACTTCACTTATTCCATTTTTAACTTTGACTTCTAAGATCCTTGAAATTAAAATTTCCATAAAGTAAAACTATTTTTCTCATTTGTTTTTTAAATTCTCAGAGCAAATGCCTACTATTCCTCAAGACAGGCTGGGATTTGATTTGGATTCAGGTGAAGATACATCTACTGATAATACCTTACCTAGAACTGTATCTCTCCGTCGCAACTTAAAGAAACATTTTAACAATTTAGGCCAATTCAACACCTTGGATAATTTTGAAATCAGTCATATGTCAGAGCAGTCTTCTGGGTTGGAAACAATTAGATTTGTAGACCCATTAGTAAACATGCACATATCTGAAAATGTAGAACAAAATATTTGTCAGTGGAACAAGGATCAAATTAACTTATCACCAAAGCTGACTCACCCTGGAGGATCTGCTAAAAGAAAAGAAAATATTTTAGAGTATAAATCTGAGCAAACTAAAAATAAGCATGGAGATGCACAAAGAAGAAAAAGAGGAGAGAAAAGAAAAGCTAACAGAAGGAGAAAATCAAAATATGTATGTAAGTATAAAGGAATCACAAGTAAAAATAGAAAACCTGTTTCCAAAAAAAAGGTGGATGATTTTATCACTTCCAATGATGCTTACAATTTTAATTTGGAAGAAGGTGTTCATCCTTCTCCTTTCCGACAAAAAATGAGCAATGATTCTAAAAGAGAAGAAGATACCAATGTATCCGAAGTGAGCAGCTATGAATCAAGTAGTTCAGAAGAGGATTCTGATGACCTCTATTTGCCCACTTGCAAGGACAGTCCAAGTCTCACCAGCCAATCAGATAGGAGCCCAGCCACCAGGCCTCGATCTACAAGAGCACTACGATGTAGGGATGAAAAAGAGATGGAGAGTTCTCAGCCAACAAAAACTCCTACCAGTAAGTGATCTACTTGTTTGCCTGCATTTTTAATGTTTATGGTAAATGATCACTCCTGATGCTTATATACTATACTTACCATCTGTTTCTCTGGGGGAGGTTAGAGACTTGCCATCTGTCTCTTTGGGAGAAATTAACAGTCTGATTAAATAATGGAGGGTCTAGGGGTGGAAATCACTGTACTATTGCTCTGAACTGCTTTAAGGTAATTTAGGTCCTCTTTAAGAACAAATATGGGGGGAAGTAGAAGAGGTTAAAATGGGGAATAAATGGTGACCAAAGGAGACTTGACTTTGGGTGGTGAACACACAATATACAAATGATGTATCATAAAATTATACACTTGAAACCTGTATAATTTTATTAACCAATGTCACCCCAATAAATTCAATAAAAATTTTAAATTAAAAGAACAAATACTACTTGTTGTGGAGGAAGCATTTTTACTTTTAGTAAATGAAGCTTTTCAAGGCAAGGAAAAACTTTTTGTGGAGTTAGGTTGAATTAAAATATCTTTCATAAACTCACCTGAAACACCCCTTGAAAATGAAATCAACTTAAATCCAGGACCTGTCATTTTAATTGCTTTTCTTTATATTCGATTTGACAGGAACTATGATTTTAAATAATTTTCTAGTTAGTGAATGTGGCCTAATAAGACCAAAAAACTCTTTCCTCAATTGATGGGCTTACTATTCTTTTGTAAGATACTTGTAAGACATCTAAAAACTGGCTTAGGCCCTAACTGGTTTGGCTCAGTGGATAGAGCATCAGCCTGCGGACTGAGGGGTCCCAGGTTCAATTCCGGTCAAGGGCATGTACCTTGGTTGTGGGCACATCCCCAGTAGGGGGGGGTGCAGGCAGCTGA